GAACATAAGATTTGTGTAAGTACCAAATTATAATATATTGTAAATGAGGCAAAACAATTTTATACTGTTGTTGTTGTTGTTGTGTTTATGGGCATTATTAAATTTACAGTTTCATAATCAATGTTAAATGAATTTATTGGAATGACATAGGCTATAGTTTTATATTTCTTTTTATTTTGTGTTATATACAAGTTAGTAGATGAGTTTAAGAGTTTATTGGAATAAACATAAATCGTCATTTTTTAATACAGTCATCACAAAAGTGATGAGATTCGATTGACTCATCTGCAAGTCTTCGTAATGTTGGTATTTGGAGGAGGTGTAGTGGTTTATTTGACTGGCGACATTTATAACAACATGCTACATTCTTACTTTTTTCCAGTTGACGCCATTTTTCAACTCTCTGGTATATTGATAAATTCGGTGGACTGTTTTTAAAAGGTGTTCTGGAGAAATGTATTTTAAGAGAGGTTCCATAAAAGTATCAAAATTATGTAATTCCATATTATCGAAATCAAAATTGGCATTCATTTTTTATCTAAAGGGTTAGGTTTTCAACGATGTTTGAGGTTTTAAGCAATTCTATAATATTTTTTTGTATCTCTTGACTTTTATAGACATCATTCAAAATCATGTTGGATTATATGAGTGAATAATTTTTTCTTAAAATGTGGCGTACTTTATCTCGTCTTTCACAACCCCACATTAACATCACACACATTGTCACGGTTGCAATGATACCATACATAGTAGGAATGACACTGTATTTATCTCGTTTAGGCAAACGTGTAAAATATCGGTTAGAAGATATTGAACACATCTTTTATAATTGAGTTTTGATTTAGATATTTGTTTAGAAAAGACATCACAGATATTTTCGGAATGAAATACTGGCATCGGTTCTGTGATTATAGAATATATATTTAAAGAAGGAAGAAAAAGGCCTCCGTAATCAATTAATTTAATTCGATGAATGTCATCATTGGATACAAATACATTTTGAGGATTAATATCGTAATAAGTACCTGATATATATTTGTCAGTAGTATTATATAAGACTAATTGAACATCAATAAGCTGTCTAAGAACTGTAGTAAGCAATTGTTGACGACAATACTGATCATTTTTCAATAAGTCGACTTTTTCCCTTAGTAGGATCCAATCGCGTGGGTTTAAGTATTCCATTTCGATAAAGTAGCCTATAGATTTAGATTTGAAAGGACATTTATCCTCAATATTATTCAAAGAATGAGGAACTTTTGTAGGTTGTGATGACTCTAGAAATTTACCTTGTGGACAGTGTATTACATTATAGGCAGTTTCGACCATAAACACACGATACACTTGAACAAAGAATGCCTTTCTGATATTTTCATCAAGACGTGAAATGTTTTCAATCTCCATTAAAAAATCCCTTTTCCGGCGAAAACTCTTTCGAGCCACAAATGTTTGTAGATACTTTTTTCCTCATTTGTGCTTCTTCTTAGAAGATTTAAAAAGTTTGGAAGCCGTGTGTGGGTAAATATTTTGAAACACATGTATTTGATGTGGTAATCTAGGATCAAGAAGTTCAATAGTAGGTACTTGGACAAGATCAACTTTACCATAGGCACCTTTCCCTAAATGACGTTTGTGGGTATTAAATGTAAAACGAATATGATTAGATATTCTATTATTTAGTGTTTCACATTCATCAGGCTTAGTCAATTTGTTTTTCCCCTTAATGACTTCCATTTTTTAATTATTTATGATATAATCCCAACTTGAAAACGGATACCAAACCCAACTCTTATAAGTCTTACGAAATTTTGATAGAAGGTATAAAAAAAAGAAAAACATATATATATTAAATATATCATAACTATATATAATACAACACTGTCAAGACAAATACAACTGAAAATATTTGAAGTAATTCACAAACTATTGGACTGAAATGGAGGAATTTATCAAGAAAGGTAATCAAACATATCCTAATCTCTTAAAAATATATTCTTTGGCAACATATATTAGAAGATAATTATGGACTGTAATGGTACAACCAATGTTTCTTTCTTCTTTGTAGATAACTTGGAGTTTATTAATGGAGACATTACTGACCCTGTATATAGAAGCCCCAATATAGCGCTTGTACAAATACTCAACTGTGTAGCTGTTAAATCTCATGGACTTTCTCAGATTCTTGCTGAGATATATCCATACTGTGGTTCTTATACACGACGCCGGGCAATAGGCACTTTAAACCGTGCTATGCTTGAAGATAGACCTCAACCAGGAAATATTGAGATTTGTCATCCTAACACTGTAACAAAGGGACCAGTAGTTATAAATGTTTTTGGGCAGTTTTATATGGGGAAGGAGAAAAATCAAAACCTTTATACTAAAAGACTCATACAGCAGTCGTGTACTGTTGATGTTGGACCTAAAGGAAGAAATCCTAGACATTTAGACATCATAACTTTTATCTGGCCTTTTAAATGATACATCCCAAAACAGGATTTATTGGTTTAATGAAGGTCTAAATAAATTAGCAGTGCAAGTATCTAATGGAAAATACAGTTTGGTAATATTTCCATCGTTAATTGGGTGTGGATTGGCTGGTGGAAACTGGGAAAGAGACTACTTACCAGCAATTATAAAATTTTCTAGACAGGTCTACCCCTTTGGTGTCAGAGTTAAAATTATAAACAAAATTATGTCAAAGACATCATAACAATGAAAAGAATAGTTAAACCTCCTAATTTATATATATATTTTTTTTTTCATAGGTTCCCCTCTTTATGACAAAAAAAACAAAAACAGGACAGTGTCATTAACATAAATAAGACGGACCTCCACCCTCCCTGGTCAATTGTTGTTGTGTGATGATTTAATCCTGACAACAGAATGAACCAGTCAGTGGGTTTAGATATGTTCCCTAAAACTTTATGAACTGATTGAGGTGAGAGAGACCATAGTTACTAATTGAAGAAATTTTTTCTCTACCATTCTACCACTACTACTACTACTACTACTACTACTACTTCCATCCAACTCTTATTTACCCTATCACTTTTCAGACATCTTTCTACATACCAAACCCGAGAAAAGTGTTTTTTTTTTTTTTTTTTTTTTTTTTTTTTGAATAGTTAATTGTGGAATAAAGAGCTTTTTCCCCTTGTTTACAACTCCATTTCTTCTCCCTTTTTTTAATTAATATTAATGTTATCTTTCATATTTCTTCTAGGTTTAATATGGAATTATCCCTGGGGAAATGTCCAAAGAGAAGACATTTAAAAAAAAAATATATACAAAATATCAAATTCAAAAAACTCAAGAGGTTGCCACCTTTTTTTGACTTGCAAGATTTCTCTACAACGTCAAGATTATAGCAGAATATCAAAGTAAGAAACATCATAGAAATTATGACAGAAGCAGAAAAGGCATCGTTAACTATTATATTAATTGTTCACCAAATATCAGATCAATTGATACTGATATAAATCTGTTTGAAATGAACATGATTTTAGACAAGACGAGTGTTTTGAAACTAAAAATAATTCTACAGTCCTGGTTAAAATACCATTTTTGAAAAAATATCAAACAAACCTGGTGTCCAACCGACTCTGGGGACCTGATAATAAGGACGTTGTCATTGATATATCAATTAAACACGGTTCCCTTAAAACTATCAAGAAAAATGTCAGTCGTCATCAAATTGTATCTTGCCCCATTTGTTTAGATATGAATGGGTCAGGTGACATGGTTTTTATGTTTGATGATTATATGGTTGGATGTGGTCACAGTATTTGTCCTCAATGTATGTTTACATTATCAGCCAAAATTTTGTTGGGTAAAAAATCTACAGGGAATTTGATTATAATAATTATGGCTGCCTTAGATATATGAATAATTCTTATGGGATGTACTCTTTTTTATCAAACATTATCTACAAAGATGAAATATTTTGTCCACTTTGTAAGCAAATAGTAAAAAGTGTGTTTGTGTTGAATATGCATCATCTAAAATGTAGCATTAGGGAATTTTCTCGTAAGTATGCACAAATCTTATTTTGGGGTAATCAAACTGACAGCTTGTTTTTAGAAGCCGCAACTAGTTTTATATATGGAGTGGAGCAATTGGCAGTCACTGATTTGTATATAGAAAGAGATATTATGGAAAAACAGTTGGATTTTTGACGAATATGTGACACCAGTTACCCTATACCTTAACTTTAATGAAAACACTTTCAGAGATGAAACTTGTTTTTAAGAGTTTACAGCCATATTTATTAAAACTAGCCTCAAAAAATTCTAATGATCCATCAAATAGAAAATACTTATTATTCTTTAACCAACTTTGTCATAGAAAGGGAGGTGAACCAATCCTGAGACCAACATTCATTAAATAAAACAAAAAAAAAATGTTTTTTTGTAAATAAATGTATATGTATGTGTTATTTTTACCTCTGTTTGGGTTTCAATCAGAGGGCATCAATTTCTCAGGCAGCAACAGGTACCACCTAGCGTTCATATTCATATGACAACCCAAGGCCAGCCATCACCACTTCAGTTGCAAGGTCCACCGCAGGTACAGTCACAGTTGCCTCCCCAGGGCCCACCTCAGGGCCCAGCTCAGGCACCAATGCTATAAAAACTCTAATCCGAAAAGTTAAAATGTCATCCTTACCACATTTCCATATCATATTTTTATAGGAGGGTGTAATTATTTATTTCTTATGTTTTCTCATTTGAAACTGTGTTTGGTTGAAGTTGTAGCTGGTTAGATACATTATCCAAATCTGTATCTACAGTATTTTTTTAGTCCATCTGTGAGTGTGTTTTTGACTCAAGGTTGTGCAGTGTTCTCGCAGAGTATATCAGAATCCTAAAACAAAGAAAAAAAAGTGTCCTTTTTTTGTAAGTAAGTATATGAAACATATAAATAAATAAATAAATAAATAAATAAATAAATAAATAGCATACACCTTAACCTTTTAAGTTAATGTGTTTTTTTTTTTCAGAAGATGGTTGAGAGGGAAAAAGGTAAGAAGATCTTTATGCAGAGGTGTGCACAGTGTCACACTGTTGAATTAAACGGCAAGCACAAAACTGGACCAAATCTAAATGGCCTCTTCGGCCGCCAAACTGGTCAGGCTTCTGGCTATATTTACACTTATGCCAACAAGGCCAAGAGTATCACGTGGGACAAAGATAATCTGGATATCTACTTGACCAACCCCAAGAAATTTATTCCAGGCACAAAGATGGTGTTCGTTGGTCTTAAGAAGAAGAATGAGCGTGCAGACTTGATTGCTTACCTGGAAACCTCCACCAAGTAGAGCAAGCATTAATATTTTTGTGGTTCTCACCACTTTAAATAATCTATACTTAAATTTTTTTTCACACTCAATTGTACATAAAGGGATTTACTCCTACTAACATTCGGAATACTCATTTGCACAAAGGTTTTAAAAACCATGGTATCCAGGTTTCCCTTTAAATCTTTACATCTTCGATTACATCAATTCCCAAATAAAAAAATATGTAGACAAATATTTTTCAATTGGTTTAAATATTACTTTAGAACCATCTATAAGTAAATTAATACAATTTAACCCCCAAATTGTAAATGTTTATGCTATTAAAATATGGATGGGATCTACTCAAGAAGGATATCCTGCGGCATCCCAATTGCAATTTATACT